TTATGAGGCGAACAAAAAGAGTGTAACACGGCGGAAGGGTGACCCTAAATCTGCATGTAGTGGTTGCGGAGGCAACCACGAAAGAGCTGAGTGCAGATTTAGGCAAGCCCTCTGCCAGCGGTGTGGAAGAAAGGGCCACATCGCTCGGGTGTGCCAAGCCGCGCAGCCCATGTCCTCCTCAGAGTTTCAGGCCGATCGGTCCCGACAACCGGGGAACCGGACGGAGGGCCCGAAGAAACCTAGGATGGACTGCCATGCCATCCTCCGGAACGCCAATCAGGGCCTCTCATGCCACAATCTGCAGAAAAAGATTCAGATGACTGTCAACATTGAAGGGAGGCCCTGCGAAATGGAGCTGGACACCGGCTCCGCTACATCCATTGTGTCCTGGAGCACGATTAAAGGTCTTTTGCCCCAGCTGTCAAAGTGCCAACTACAAGACTGTAACCTTACATTACAGGACTATCAGGGCAACCTGGTTCCAGTGATTGGCACCTGCAGAGTCAGAGTGCAGTTTAAGGGGTTCGATGGCCGGTTACCCCTCATCATAGTCGAGAGCCGGTTGCCCAGCCTTCTCGGCCTTGACTGGTTCCAGTCCCTCGGCCTTCAGATCAGCGGCATCAACCACCTAAGCACGTCGGCCCTAGACTGCCTAGTCAACGAGTTCCCTGCCGTGTTTGATGGCACCCTTGGCAAATACACTGGCACGCCCGTGTCGTTCAACCTCGACCCATCCGTGCAACCGGTGCGAATGAAGCCACGCCGAGTACCCATTGTGCTCAAGCCGAAAGTGGATGCCAAGCTAGATAAGCTCGTGGCTCAGGGCGTCCTGGAGCCAGTGGACCATGCACGATGGGAAACACCCATCGTGTTGCCAATCAAACCAGACGGCAGCGTGAGGATTTGCGCAGACTACCGCTGCTCTATCAACCGCGCTCTGCCCTCCAACGCATACCCGGTGCCAGTGGTTCAGCATTTTCTCCACACCTTGGGCGAAGGATCTATCTTCGCAAAGCTAGACCTCGCCCAAGCCTACCAACAGCTAGTGGTGGACGATGAGGCAGCTGAGGCGCAAACGATCGTCATGCACCGGAGCGCATTCCGATGCCGCAGATTACAGTTTGGAGTCAGCATCGCCCCAGGACTTTTCCAGAGTTTGATGGAGCGGCTGCTGCAAGGACTCTGAGGCGTCATCCCTTATTTTGACAACGTCCTCGTATCTGCAGCCTCCCTCGACGAACTCATGGCCCGCCTGCGGGAGGTTCTCAGAAAATTCCAACAAGTGGGACTCAAGGTCAAAAGAGACAAGTGCCAGATCGCGGTGCCCCAGATAGAATTCCTAGGGTTCCTCATTGATGGTAGTGGCATTCACCCCATGGCTGCCAAGATCAAAGCCATTGTGGAAGCCCCTGAACCTACCAATAGAGCTGAATTACAGGCCTTTTTAGGCCTACTAAACTTTTATGCTGTGTTCCTGCCACATAAGGCATCTGTAGCTGAGCCACTTCACCACCTCCTTGACTCAGGCGCGGCCTGGATTTGGGGCCTCCGGGAAGCCTCTGCATTCGTGGCGGTTAAACACCTCCTCGTCTCCAACGACGTCCTTGTCCAATATAGCGAGCACTTGCCCCTCGTGCTCGCTTGCGATGCTTCACCCTACGGGGTAGGCGCTGTCCTCTGCCACCAGCTACCCAGTGGGGCAGAGGTGCCCGTAGCCTTTTTCTCCCGTACCCTATCTGCCTCCGAACACAATTACGCCCAAATCGATAAGGAGGCTCTTGTTATTGTAGCCGGGGTACAGCGTTTTCACCATTACTTATACGGCCGGCCATTTATGATTGTCACCGACCACAAGCCACTGCTCAGTTTGCTGGCCGGCGACCGCCCTGCCCCACAAGTTCTCTCTCCGCGGATGACATGCTGGTTTGTCTTCCTTGCCTCCTATGAGTACCAGCTGCACCATCGCCTGGGGAAGCAGATCGCCCATGCCGACGCACTCGGCTGTTGCCCCCTGCCAGAGGCCCCTGAAGACCCTGCTGCTGTCGCCCCAGTATTCCTGATTGACGACCTCAACTTGCCAATTTCTGCCGCCGACATCGCCCGGTTGTCCGCAAGGGATCAGGTAATTTCCTGGGTGCTAGACTGGGTTAGGTGAGGGTGGCCAAAAGACCCCGTGGAGCCTGTTTTCCTGCCCTTCAAGTCCCGCCTGGCAGAGCTGTCTGTTCAGCACGGCTGCCTGCTCTGGGGCCACCGAGTAGTGGTGCCGGCCTCACTGAGGACTACCATCCTGCAGCAACTACATCAGAAGCCATCTTTAGTGATCCTGCAAAGTTAGGATGCTGCTTAAAAAGTAATTTTACAGCTGGTCATTGGACAACTGCAGCACCTCTATGGAGCTATGAATACTGTTTGTGCTCTTCACAGATGGTTTCTGACCAGCAGAGTCAATGGAGAAGCATAAGCCATGTTCATGGGATGTCTCACTTAATAACTGTGAGTGATTTGCTTAATCATTGTGGCAGAAGTGAGGTCATAAGTCCTTTATGATCGTGTTTGGAGACTACATGTATGCACTTGCCTGTCTTCTATGATGCCAAATTCACCATAGTAATCTGAGAGAAATGACTTGGCTTCCCATAGAGTCTATTAAAAAAAATATCGTATGACTTTTAAATGTCCTGCTCTACCATTGAAATTGTTTGTTTCCTGAGGAAATAAACGACTATATACTTTCTTTTATTGAAGCATGCAGATGACATATGGAACAGGAAGTGATATGTTATCAGATTTGGTTAAGACATGGACTACAGTCAGACTCAAGGTCATATAAATAGAAACCTGAGCAGAAAAGGAAGGGGAAAGAAGAAGCAGAAGAAACAGATGATGAAGAAGCTCTGATTGACTCTTAAAATTATTTCCAACTTTGAACAGGAACAATAATACAAAATCTTCATGAGTAGAGGCACTAAAAACTATGCTGACTCCAGTTGTAATTGCAACAAAATCATTCTAAAAATGTTGTACCAACAAGAAATAAACAATTGGCAACATTCAGCAACCAATGATTATTAACGCTGTGAATCAGCATGCAGGATAAGGTTTCCTATCAATTAAAAAGAGCAGACAATAGCCCAGTGCAATCCAGTGGGTGTTATGTACTCGGAGTTACGACACTGCCCAAGAGCGTGCCGGCCAGGAGATGGTGCTGATTGGCTAAGCCGCGCAAACCGCTTGGCGGGAGAATGCTGTATTGCCATTGGTTGCCCCAACTGACAGCTGCTATATAAAGAACTGTCAGATGGGAATTCTTTGTTGCCGGTTCCGGAGTTGCCTTCCTGTTAGTGCGTTTCTGCTAGACAATAAATGGTTGTTGTTTCATAACCTGTCTCACCTCAGTTCCTACCTGCCTGGTTCTCCGAATAAAGCAGTGGGGAACGTAACATAGGGCAGATAAACATGGAACAGGAAACAGAACAGAAAATAATGAGCATTCAGATTCATCCAGAGGATAAGCAGACATAAAAAAAATGAATACATGCCTACAAGTGCTCACAAGATAATGATTCTGATTCAGAAGGCATAATTAAGGGATGGGAAAACCCACAGTAAGAATCAGGTGATGTGATCAGACTCCATTTCTCATACAATTTGACTGCCAGCTCAAGTCTTATGAAAGGGCAGTAGACGTGGTAGCACTGGAGGCACCAATGGATTACTTGAAAAACAGATCTGCATGCAAGGGACAATAAAGGCTAGGAGGCAATCCTAACCAAGATAACAAGAGCTGCAAGTTACTAGTGTGCCTACTGAAGCACTGCTGCAGCCACATGACCAGCAATCAAGTCGATTTCTGTTTAAGTTACAGCTGACACATGTAACATACAGATTTAAACTTTCTTAATTTAAACATCCAATCTTGAAGATCCTATTGTTACCACCAGGAAAGGTTCTGTATCATACAACGAGCAGCATTACAGCGAGAGATTTTTATTCCTGATAATGATTTCATTTATTCAAACAATCCCCTCCCCTCCACCCACACTTTGGTCAATAAAAGTAACAAAATGATTAATTGAGGAGAGATATAGGCTGCCACTGCTCACCTGTTCCCAGCCCCTTCATTAGTACCAGGACAGCCCAGCTGCCTATCAAGCAGCAGAGACCCGAAAGGGGGGGGGACAAAAGTTTTCTATTTTAGAGCTTGATAGTCCCAGCCACAGAATGAGCAGGCAGAATAAACAGATTGTTTAAACAGAATAAACAGAAACCAAAAAGCCCAGGAATAAAAGTAAACTATCCCAGCAATAAGTAAATAGAAAAAAAAATGACCCAAACAATAAAGACTCTGATGGAACACAAATAGAAAATGTGTGTATGTGTGTGTGTGAGAGAGGGGGGGGGGGCTGTCCTCCATGTGGACAAAGTAATTGCAGATTGTATTATTGTAGGACAATTCCAGCACTTCATATCTTTCTTTGCTTTCAGCAGAACTTCTTATTTCCATATGTAGCAAGACAGTGTAAGGATTACAAAAAAAATTACCATTTAACCTATTTAACCTAACATTGTTAGTCCACATTAACTAACTATAAATTGTGGGTTCAACACTAAATGTTTTGAAGCAAAGATAGAAAAAAAACTTTTTGCCAGCTGTAATTATAGTGACCTTACATCACACCCCCAAAAAACCCTTATGTTTGTCCTTTATTTTGATCATTTAACCTGTACTGTAGCATTATTACCACAATGCACATTCTTTCATATTCATGTGAAAAATATGGAAATAGAATTGTCTTTTAAAAATGAATTTACTTATACTGTCTGACTTTAGATATTTTTATTAGTATATGCATTTTGTTTTATTTTTTCTTGCTTTTGTTCCAGAATTTTCTTTCATCAAGCACAATTATAAACAGTTTAAAATTTTGATTCTTTCAGATTTGCCCCCTTTTTGGTTTTTTTCCCTTTATTTTTTGCCAAGAAAACACGGTCACCATGGATGTTATGCATGTGAAAGGAACACAAAAATAATGTACTACCTACTCAGAATCTTCTTAAGTAAAACAAAAAACTATTTAAGAAATTGATTCACTGCTAGGAAAAAACTACTGTAAAAAACAATTGGCACAGAACTTTTTCAGACAAGTCAGAAAAAATTCCCAGCCCTATTTTAGTACCTCACTATAGAAAATGAGTTATGGATGATACAGGCAGTTTTACTGTTATATAATCATTTTGCAGTGAGATGGACAGCAAAAAATATGTAATATCAAATTAACAAACAATTAAAATATTTTACCAGAAACCTGAGAAAGACATTTCAGTTAATTCTACAAAGAGGAGATACTGACTTGTGAATGTTATGAATGGGATTTAGACAATTTACCTGAGTGGTCATTAATAATGTCATCACAGGCTAGGAATTTGATTAAGATTGTTAAGACTTTGGAAGGCTCCTGGGATATGATCTAACCCGATTTGAGCAGATAAAAAACAATTCAGAACGTGCATTCCAATTTGTTCTTGCTCTTCACAAATATTGACATTCACAAGCATGGCCAGATCCCCAATGATTTGGAAATAGGAGCCATTGTTTTAAAAAGATCTGAGGGATGACTCTACAGACTTTATTCCCATTGGCCTTTTCAAGTATAGATAGAGGGTGCCACTCCAGGCCCTCATACTATCAATTTAGGGAGAGGCGTGAACATAATCTTTCAGCAGAACAGTTTTAAAAGTTTTAAGTCTCTGCAACTGATCATCACTTCTTATGCATTTAACCCACAGCTCACTATTGCCACATTTACAGGAAGAGCAAGAGGTATAGAATGAAGGAAGTGTTGTGTCATTGCAGTGCAAAGCCTGCTTTTTTCGCACACATGGTTGCGCCTATGTATGAAAAGGTTTGACTTGCAGCCTGATTGTGCAACATTCCTTTCCTCATTTTGACAAAAGCAGCAAGATCCTACAGATTCCATGTGTCAATATAGTATATTCTTGAAAATCAGGCGCAATCTTCAAAGACATTTATCGACTGCTATTTTAGCTTATAATAGTTATCCTAGGAAGGTACCTGATCTTTTTAAATGCTGATATTACCAATGGGCGGGTACCTCAGTGTCCCTGATTCTGAAAATTGCCAAATGATCAGAAAGAGGTTTTCTGTGCTCATTTCAGCAGCACATACACTAAAATAAGAAATACACATCTCATCAGACTTGTACGTTTGTAGCTACAGCTGATGTGATAATTTGAATTTCAAGGAATTTTGCTGGCTATGTATCATCATCCCTTATATCACTGCCATTGGATCTCTCCCTTCCTGAATTTGAATTGTCAGTGAAAAGGGGTGGGGGGAGAAAGTGAGGAAGGTTTGACTATATTGTGCGCTCATTGAGTTTGAAAACCCAAACCATTAGTACTTCTAAATATCCTGAATTTCAGACCCTGTGTTAGAGAAACAGGGCATAACTAAATATATAATGCATCTGAAAGCTTGGGACTATTTGAGAACAAACTTGTGCCGAACTTAATCTTTGTTTCATGTATGGTAATCCTTGGGGCCATTTTCTAAGGGTTATAGACAATATCACAGGCAGCCTTCTTAGTGTTCTTTGCTGTTGAGAGGACCAAGGTAATTTGGTCAGAATTCCAAAGTTTCAAAGCGTTTTTGAAATTTAGTTAAGATAACTAATTTTAAAATTAGGTCAGGAATAGTCACCTTTTGGGCCTGAATAAAAATCAATTTCTTTCCTGAGGAATGCATTCTGTCATCTGCACCTCTATAACTGTCTGGTTTGGTTCTGCAACCCAACAAGACGGACACAGACTTCAGAGGATAATTAGAACTGCAGAAAAAACAATTACTACCAACCTACCTTCTATTGAGGATCTGTACACTGCATGAGTCAAAAGAGGGCCATGAAAATAGTTACAATAGCAGTTATAGCAGTTAGACTTATATACCGCTTCACAGGGCTTTCAGCCCTCTCTAAGCAGTTTACAGAGTCAGCATATCGCACACACACACACCCCCACAGTCTGGGTCCTCATTTCACCCACCTCGGAAGGATGGAAGGCTGAGTCAACCTTGAGCCGGTGAGATTAGAACCGCTGAACTGCAGATAACAGTCAGCTGAAGTGGCCTGCAGTACTGCACCCTAACCACTGCGCCACCTCGGCTCTTACAGACCCCTCGCATCATGGACATAAATTGTTTCAACTTTTACCCTCAAAGCGACGCTATAGAGTACTACACACCAAGACAACAACACAAGAACACTTTTTTCCTCGAACGCCATCACTCTGCTAAACAAATAATTCCCTCACCACTGTCAAACTATTCACTAAGGCTGCATTACTATTACTATTAGTCTTCTCATCATTCCTATCACCCATCTCCTTCCAGTTATAACTGCAGGATTGTAACTTTGTTGCTTGTATCCTTATGATTTATATTGATATTGATTGTTTCCTGATTGCTTATTTATGACTATCATTAAGTGCTGTACCTTATGATTCTTGATGAATGTATCTTGTCTTTTTATGTACACTGAGAGCATATGCACCGAAGGCAAATTCCTTGTGTGTCCAATCCCACTTGGCTAATTAAGAATTCTATTCTATTCTATTACCTAGGATTATACCTGATACCATTACCTAGGATTATGAGTAATTGGTAAGTCCTAAGGCTCAAACCCTAATAACTGGTTTCTTTCTCATGAAACTAAATCAGAATTTGGCACTCACTTTTTGATGGTGCAGGCATCAGGACAGGTTGGACACTTCTCACAGGTATCTCCGTAAGAGCCAGGCTGAGTACAGACACATTTCCCACAGGAGCAATATCCACGGCCTTGTCCACTGCATATCATCCCATTGCTGGACATGCAGGTGTCTGTCCGAGTTGTACAGTTGCAATACGTTCCCGTCCAGTCAGGGTTGCAGGCACAGTCTCCACAGACGCATTTCCCATGTCCTACAGGCAAACAATCATATGAAAATGGGTCTGTATCGTAGGCCATGGATGGGACGGGATACTTCTCAGAAAGCTTTATTTTTTAATGCCAAGATCTCAATTTTAGCATTAAAGGAGTCAATTCCCTTCTACTTCCCAATCTTTCTCCTCAATCACATGGAAAAAAATATATAAAAGTTAAACAGGATAATATACTGGAGATCATTGACTGATTTTAGGGAAGTGGTTATTATTTACTGATCCTTTTTTTTCTCATACAAATGTTAGTAACCAGAAAAGTTTCTTATTTTTATTACTTTATTATAGACAATTTCTCCCTATTTTCTCCAAAGAACTCCAAAGGATTCTGCCAAAGATTGGCTACAAAGTCTTTCAGGATTCCTTTCAGACATTCCAAGCAGGGCTGACCACGTTTCCCAGGGCTCTGGAGAAAGACATTTCACCAACTCCTCTTCATTTTATGCAGTTAGAGCTGAATCATATCTCAAGTTGCAGTACTGCATGTTGGGGTATGTGTGTGTGTGTATGTATGTGCACACACACACACACACACACACACACACACACACACACACAAACGATTAATTAAAAACACAACAAGGCTGAAAAGTCAGATTCTCAAGTATGTAAGGGAGGCCGTCTTGCCTATCTCATTTTTGACTCACCAGCTTCTACCCACCAAAACTTCTGTAATGGTACAACAGAATCACTTATTTTAACAGTTCTGATATCATCCCAGAAAAGTTGAGATATAATTGTCAATTTAACCATTGTAGATAGTGCAAAATTGTGTCTCTAGAAGAGTGTTTCTCAATCTCCTCAGCAATTTTAAAATGTGGGGACTTCAAATCCCAGAATTCATCAGCCAGCTCTAGGATAGGGGAAGGCAATGAAGTGTCTGTGTTTAATAGTAGCCAAATAGCTAGGACTTGCCCTTGCATGCACTTTGTTCAGCTGTGCACTGACCCTTTGAAATTACTGAAGCAGTGAAGTCATTAGAATAGGAACATTATTGCATTAGGAGAGGAATGCTTAGAGGCCTCTACAAAAAGTTGCCATGAAAATAACCAGCGGAAGTATTTTTTCTATAGTGTTATTGATCTAACTAGTAATACAAATTCATGAACGGCGGGAGGAAGGGAGGAAGAGGCAGGCAGATAGGCAGGCAAATAGCCACACAGACAGCAGCTTCCTCTGAAGAGGACGAATGATCATGAAGATTAGTTAATGAGAAATTCCAGTGAATCATGGGGAAAATGAGCTGAATGAGCAGTTGGCTAGAACAAAATCTCTAGCAATACCAGGAAAATGTATACAATATGAGGAACATTTTGTGAGTTTGTCACATAGCTAAGAAATAATTACTTGTCTGGAATAAACCAAGACACAACAGCTTCATCAAAAGATATTTGAGGGTTGGAAAGTAGAATAGCAACAATAGAAAAGGTTCTCGGAACAGTTACAGATGTCCAATTAGATTTTGGATTTTCCTGCTAAACTCCACATCTCAGAATCAGATTTGCAAGCCATTTCACCTGACTTGCTCTCATACACAAGATTAATTATAGCCCCATGTCACAAAGAAATGTAATGTAATAGGGAAATATTTCCCAATTGGGGAACATCTTTATCTGGACGACAGATTGCTCTTAAAGTATAGAGTAACACCAGGGCCACTAAGGGATATGGCAAAACCATTCAGAATTCACATTCAGATTTGAGCAAACTCCACTAGTTTTCTGATGTTGTGTAGTTTGATAATGAAACATCTGCAGGAAAATAACCAAGATCTGAGAGCATTAAGAACCCCACATTCATTTTTGGTCATATTTCTAAGACAGCTATTGCCCCTTAGCATTTTTCTCAGAACAAGTTAGAAATAGTTGCACAAAGGATTCTTGAGGAAAGCAAGCACCTTCCTTCTTTTTGTAGTACCAAGCTGCAATCCTGAGATTACTATGTATAAAACTGTGCCCTCCAGCTGTGTCCTGGCTGTTTATTATTAAGCAGAAGAAGCCATGGGTGTGTTCTTCAAGTGAAAAATTAGGCCCAAATGACTTTGCAGCCCAGATCAATTCTAACTGTTCCAGTAGCCACTGAACAGACTTAACAGAAAAAAACCCAGTATAATAAGTTTCTGGGGAAAAAAACCCACAATGATTAAGTTGTGTGATGTGCACCTGGCTAGCCTATTTTAGCAATGTTTGAGGAACATCCTGACATCTCACATTGCACAATAGTTGTATTTTATAGCACGTACAGAAACTTCCATGAAATAGAAGGAGTTGTTGTTCTAGACACAAGCATGTACCCACTTCCTATAATCAAATCACAGCAATTGTTTCCTTTAACACTGAGTCACACAAACAAAGCAGTCATGAGTTCCAAACAGATAGCTGCTTCTAACACTTTCCCCCTCTTTCATGAAAGCAAATTGAGTCCTCTCTGGATCACCAAGTTAATGGTTATATTGTAGGAAACAGTGTTTAACTGGTTTTTTTTTCTTAAGCAGCAAGTTGCTTTTGGAGGCATACAAACACAAATGCTTTTTGCTAACTCCTACTATACTAAGGTTGTGATTTAATTAGTTCCTAAGGAACAGATTTTTCAGTTCTTTTCCAAACAATTTGGTAAAGCACAAGTTTGACAAATTATATGTGTTTAGTTATTCCAACTTGCTTTGGCAAACATAAATAACTTCGCATCTGTATGTTTATAATCCCAATGATAATTAAATATCTGAGTTATCCTTTAGCCAGAAGGAGAATGAATAATCTGTGATATATTTACACTCCTGCACTTGCTCACAGCCTAGACAAAAATAGAGAAATAAAAAGATAACACCTATTATTTTTCAAACCACATAAGATTATGTCATAAAACACTTGAAATATACGCAAGAATGAGGCCCTTTAGATCTCCAAATGTTGTTGAATTATCCCTCTCAGCCATTGTTATGAATTGGTTATGTGAGCTGCTGAGGATGCTGTGAGAGACTGCTATTCCTTAATAAAAATGTAAAAGCCTAGGTATTGGAAAGGTGTACCAAATACTGAATATTCCTTATTCCTACATACATATGTGCAATGGCATGATATACATGCAAAAAGAATGCATTGTAATAGAGCAACATGTTTTTTGTTATTTGCCTCCTTTCAAACTCCTTGAAGATGTTTTTGATCCTATTTATGATCATTAATTATGAAGTGTTTTCTAAAGAATTTACATTTTTGCAGATATGTTTTGAGAACACTGCAGTTTCCCACAGTATAAGCACATGCATCATTTTTTCAGTGTCAGTTCTAATCAAAAGAACTTTACAAGGGCTCCTTCCTTCCCTCTCTCCCTCCCTTCCCTTCTTGTAGGGGAAGAGAATTATAAAGAGGAATGATGGAACAATAGAAGGAAGGATGGAAATCATATTTTCTTTCTTTGCTCTTTGCCTTTTTTCATTTATCTTATCTCACCTTTAAATATAAATTGTTATATTTAAATATTATACAGGTAGTGCTTGACTTTGTTTAGTGATCATTCGGCGTTACAATATCGTTGAAAAAAATGACTTATGATTGTTTTTCACAGTTATGACCATTGCAGCATTCCCATGATCATGTGATCAAAATTCAGAAGCTTGGCAACTGGTTCATATTTATGACCACTGCTGTATCACAATGTCATGCGACTTTCCCACTGAGGGAAAGCCAGATTTACTTAACAACCAGGTTGCTAACTTATCAACTGCAGTGATTCACTTAACAAGTATAGCAAGGAAGGTCATAAAATGAGGCAAAATTCACTTAACAAATGTCTTACTTAACAGCAGAAATTTTGGGCTTGAGGACTACCTGTATTGTTATACTAGTATTGTCCGGCTTGCAACCACCTTTTCTTTTGGATCTTTGGCCTGCCACACCTCGGACTCTGATTTAATTTTGGATGCTATTTGGAACCCTCGCAAGTATTGTATTTAAACATTCTAGTGTTATTTTTTTAAGACAGAAAGAGGACTCTCTGGGAAAAATCATTCTTCTTTGCAGGTATGTACAGCTCTTAGAAGCCCTCATGCCACTCACCTGAGCATAGTTCCCCTTTGAAGCGAACACAGGAAAAGTCATCACATTCACAATATTTGCCCGATATCCTGCCAAAGTCACTGCTGTAGCAAACACATTGGCCACAGATGCATTCTCCACGCTGGTTGCAAAGCGGTTGCCCCTGACTGGGGCTGCAATTGTCCTGCTGGGATGGGCCATAGTCTTCCTCTGAGCACTCACAGAGGGAACCCAGCCGGCCTGGGTAGCAACGGCACATCCCACATTCAAAGGTGCCATTCCCATTGCTACAGATCTTGCTATAAGGTTTGGCAAACTTCTGGCAAGCACAGTCACAGTTAAAGTTCAACAGAACCGTCAGGCTGTCTTCAAAGCCCACTGGCTTAATGGTGAAAGAGGTCTGTCGGTCCTTTGGGCAGCCACGGATCTTCGCTTCAACGCTGAAGCTCACCTGGGAAGAGGTTTAAGAGAAAGAATTACTCAGGTTAAGGAAATATCCTTAAATATGTCACATTCAGTTTAGATCTATACACAGAGAAAGAGATAGAAAAAGCAATCAGAATAATGTATAATTTTTTGGATGGAGTTACTGGTTGCAAAATCAGCATGGGAATAGTTTCCTTGTAAGGCTAATGTACCTGCAGCAGACAATAGAATATATCAGCTTGGATGATCTGTACCTACAAAGTAATTTAATGAGAGACCACTCACAAAAAATCCAGGGCTGCAGGCTGTGCAGAAAAGGTCAGAAATAACAACGAAACCTTGAGAAACCAATTGTACATGATTGCAAACAAAACTATATGGATATCTTGTCTTTAGGTTTGTCTTTAATTAACCTATTACTAATAAAAAGAGGAAGATATATTCATTAATTTCAGGAGGAAAATTTGTGGATGGAAGAAAAGTGTTCAACTGTTGTTCATCCTCACATCCCTTCCTCAAATCAATTTCAACTTCTTTTTTACCCCCCCCCCCCCTCAAAGTTGGTCTCCAAGATCCAAAATAAGCTGGCCTGAGATAATGAGGAAACTATCTTAAGTGTAAGGTTGTGTAGTGGACAGCAAAAAACTAAAACAAAAAAAGTAAGTATTACTTACTTACATTAAGTATTTCTAAACATATAGTAACCATTGATTTATCTTATTTTGTAATTTCATTATCAAATTTAGACACCATCCATCTCACTATCCAAGTGGCTCTGGGTTGCTTACAAATACAAACAATAAAACCAATTAAAAGTGACTTAATTAAAAGCAAAATTAAAATTGAGTAAAGAAAAACATAAAAACAAAGTTTAAAAGGTTACGTTTAACATCGTTAAAAGGTGGAGGGAGCATCCTCAGGTCAGCAACCAAGCCCTAGTTAGCCTGCTATCCTTTAGTTCTTGCATCAATTGAGAGAGCCAAAGTCATCATGTTCTTCCAAAATTCTTCAGTCACCACTGCCTATACATATGTCATCTGCCTACTGGGCGGGATGGATCAATGTAATTGGGACAACCCAGTTTCTCAAGTAATTTGGTCCCATGCCATGAAGGGGTTTAAATTCAATATTTTTAATTGGACCTGGAACCAAACTGGTAATCAATGTAGCACATAAGGTAAAGATAAAGGTTCCCCTTGCACATATGTGCTAGTCATTCCCGATTCCAGGGGGTGGTGCTCATCTCCGTTTCAAAGCTGAAGAGCCAGCACTGTCTGAAGACGTCTTTGTGGTCATGTGACTGGCATGACTAAATGCCAAAGGTGCACAGAACACTGTTACCTTCCCACCAAAAGTGGACCCTATTTTTCTACTTGCATTTTTACATGCTTTCAAACTGCTAGGTTGGCAGAAGCTGAGACAAGTAATGGGAGCTCACTCCATTATGTGGCACTAGGGATTCAAACTGCCAAACTGCCGATCTTTCTGATCAACAAGCTCAGTGCCTTAGCCACTGAGTCACCGCGTCATTATAGGTACAGAATGTGCAAAATTGGTAGTGTGCCCATATTCTGAACTAGCTGCAGCTTCCAGATCGCTTCCATGTAGAATGCCTTGCTGTAGTCCATGTGGGAAATGACCAGGATATGAATGACTGAGAGAAGGACCTTCTAGCCATGATTGTCACATGATTGTTATATTATGTGTGCTGGCTAATATGAAATTGTTGCTTTTCTTCTATTATGGCTACTTTCTGCTATTGCGGAGACAATGTACAAAATTTCTGAATTTGCAGAAAGACATTTTCTTCTCACTATCTACCCAAGCAATCTTTTTCTCTCAGTTTGTGTTTCACAGGTCTACTAAGGCAAAAGCCCCATACCAAAGGAGAGACTAAGATGCTACTGACACAAGTGGATGCCTTTTATGTAATATAATTCAACCTCCCCAACAGGAAGAGGTTGGATTCTTAAAATGTGCATTCACACTGGGAAGAAGAGAGAACGTGTCTAGGAATTTAAGGTTCATATAGCTCATTCAAACAACAAATGCTTATTAATTTTAGCTTTGACCATTATACAGACAAGAGTATTTGTGAAAATAGATTATTTGGCTGCCCATGTTAAAATGGCCATGGTGGGCAATACCATGCATAGAAGGCAGCTTAAAGTAGCCAACAGGAGTTAGGCAAATTACAGGTGGCTATTGGTGCATTCCCAACCTCATTGTCAACAAAACACCTTACATTCTCTCTCCAATAACAATTGTGTCAGGAGAAGAGAGATATTGCTTTAAAGCTAAAATAGCAGCATATTACTTTAAGCTGCTTTGAGTGTGAGGGAGAGGAGTTGAAGGCAATGTCTTGAAAAAGCATTACATAAAAATGGTTCCTAAGGCTGAATTTTGTACTGCAGCTAGGAACATGTGAGGATGAGCTCTCACAAACAGATATTCAAAGAATGTTTTGAACTGCCCAGATTCAAGGTCCATTTTGTGTACAACCTTTCCAGAAATATATTGTGGATCCAATTGTGCTACTCTCAAATCTCTGAGTTTAAAAAGTTGCTTTGTGTGTCTTCTTGCAAAACTTCAGAAATGTCAAAGTGTTATTGATTCTTTATAAACAGGTTGTTCATAAAGAAGGAAGGAAGCAGGTTTATTGCAATTGTTACAATAAAAAAATGTACTGTCCTATAATTGAAGTCGTTTTGACCCATGATTCCTTGGCACTTATCTCTATTTTTTGCTTCTTCCTTGTGGTTGGCTATTTTGTGTGACTGCGGGGGCTGAAGTGGTGTTTCTTGTTATAGCAATACATTAGAGAGACACATTTGCTGCCCGAATGCAGATACTAAAAAAATACAAATTTTGTGTTGATTTTTTTTTTTTTTTGCTACAATGCAGAGAGCAACTTTAAAAAGGGACAGCTTTTTGACCTGAAAATCTACCTATCCATTGCAGAAATTTAGGTTTCTAAATTTAATTAAAATTTATTAAGGTTAATCATAGCTGAGCTTTTTAAAACAATGATGGCCCCTTTTTCAAGAAGGCATTTGCTAAAATAGGACTGATATCAAGTGGTCATTTCCAGATTGTTAACTCAGGAAACAGAGACAAAAACCCAGCTTGATAATGGAAAGATGTATATTCTATTCAGGAAATGTTCCTTTAAATACCTTGGAGCAAAACTTACAATAAATGTTTCTCAGAGCTCTTGTGGGGTTAATATTTAACCCTATAGCATGTTTACGTGCTATACCAGTAGTAGAGTATGACATTCCTCTTAAAAGTGATGGAAATCACCATCTTAATTGTAGCTTTAATTGCAACTCTATACAATTATTTTTGCCTTAATATAGTGCACCCATAACTCACTGTATCGCCGATCTTGAGTCCAACACAAGACTTAACTCCAGGAATGACTTCATTATTAAGGCAGGTGGCATTAAATGAGAGGGACAATTCCTCTGGGAGATTACGGACTTCTAGTTCAACCTTGGAACGGATTTTCTGAGGAAGGACATAAAGATACAATCAGCCTCTATCCAGTTGCAGACCTCATCTAAAAACCCAACTAATCTTCCCAATTTAAATTTGACAGGCTCCAACTCTTTTTTTTTTTTAATAATCATGGTTCCAGTATCTCCTTCAATATACTTAAATTAGTTAGTTGATGTAGATAAGTTGGTAAGAGTGGTTCAATTGAGCTTAAGGGGGGGGGGGGGGGGGGGGGGGGGCGATTTAATAGCATTCCATGGCAGAGGGAGCTAATGGGAAAAGCAATTAAATATGGATGGGAGTTTCTAAAATAAGGCAGTATAACAAGTCCAGTGAGAAAAATATTAGGGGCAGTAGAAAAAGCCTGGTATGGTAAATAATAGAAAACAAGAGGGGCGTCTAAGTAGCTCAGACCTTTAGACATGGACTTGGGGAAATTAAAGCTCAGCAGGATGTTGGCAAAGGAGGCTAAGAATAATAAAAAGAGCTTCTTCGATATACTCACAAGAAAAGAATTAGTGCAACAGCTGCTCTGTAAAGATGGCAAAATGCTAACAAAGAGCGAAGAAAAGGCAGAGCTACTCAACTACTATTTTGGTTCAGTGAAAAACATCTTGGAATAGAAGTTGTTTACACACTGAAAATGTGTCAGCAATGTAACGTTGCTGAAACAAAAAAGGCAACTGCAGTTTAAGGCTGCATTAACAGAAGGAGTATTTCCAAATTACAGGAGACAATAGCTTTCCCTTAATCTATGGCAATCAGATTCTCAATACAGTGTTCCATTCTGAATAGATGAAGAGGGATTAAGACCAGGGGAATGAATAGGTAGCATATGTGGCAAGGAAAGCCAAATGCCATGTGTACCATCTTTTTAATGCAAATGACATGACACCTACTTGCAGTCAGAGAGAATAACACGACTGACACAATCACATTATTGTCATTTTTTGCCCATCGTGGCTAATAGCAGAGCCTTATGATTCAGACAAACTAGAGTGGATGAAGTGAAAAGCACTAAGGGATTGTCAGGGGTCTAAGAACTAAGTCTCATGAAAAGAGATGGAAATAAATGGGGATGTATAACCAGGGGTGGGCTGCTGGGAGCTCGCAGGGGTTCGGGAGAACCTGTAGCTAAGATTCTATGCAGAGAACCCCCAAATCCCACTCCTGGATGGCCCTGCCCACCACGCCATGCCCCTCCCAAGAGTCCCCAGGTAGCCCAATTTGGATGCAGGTAAGTGCAGGGTACGCACGGAGGTTCAGGAAGGGTGAAAAATGGGCCTACCGGAAGTTTGGGATGGCTGGAAACTGGCTTGTTTCAGGCCTCCAGTGGGCCTCTGGAGCCTGGGAAGCTCATTTTCACCCTCTCAGAGGCTTGAGGAAAACCTCCAGAGCCAGGGGAGGGCAAAAATCCTCCCCCACTGTGGTGCAGGAGGCTGACTAGGCCACAACCACCCAGTAACCGGGCAGAGAACCCCTTGCTAAAAATTTTGAAGCCCACCCGTGTGGATAACCTTGAAACAAGAAGGCTGAGGAGATATATGATAAAATTCTTCAAAGGCCTTAAAGGATTTCAATGAAGAACATTGAAAAGTCTGCTCAGAGCATAGAACAATAAATAATAGATTTATATTACCGGGGATGCAGATTATATCTGAATGTAAGGAAAACCTTTCTACCAATAAAAATAGTTCAGCATGGACCAATGATCCAGAGATGTGCTGGATTGCACTTTGCTAGATATGTTGAAATAGATTGCTAGTTATCTGCTTAGGATGCTTTGAATTCCTGTACTAAGTAGGAACTGGATTTATTACCTAAATGGCTCCTTTCAGTTCTATATTTTATGAAATCAAGGATCGGATTGCTCAGCCATAAAGTTCCTAATGTAGATTTCTGTAAGTATCTATCAACTGACCACCAGAAATAGGAATCTTAACTATTAAAAGAAACTGTTCAGTGATTCAGTCAGCATAAAACAAACAAAAAACAGTTTCATGTAGTGTTAAGGCATCGGGAAACTGTGAGTTCTAGTCCTGCTATAGGCACAAAGCCAGCTGGGTGATCTTGTACCAGTCACACACACATACACACACACACACACACACACACACACACACACACACACACAAAACCTAGGAAGAAGGCAATGGCAAACCACTTCAGAAATCTTGCCAAAAAAACCTGCATAGACATGCCACGCCATTGTCAGGTGTCCAAATGGATTCAAAGGCACCCTCCAAAACAGGAGATGGATTCAATGCTAGTAGAAAAGATAAGAAATACTAAGGACAACTTTCCTATGAAAGTTTTAATGTAAAACTGGGATTTTATACTATCTGCATTTATGTATTTAGAATCAGATCTTCCTACCTAAATGTATATCCATCCTACTGCCATACTCAAAAGAAGGCAGTGCCAGAGCTTTTAAATGGAAGAAAAATAGTCCAAGAGGACTTCATTATCCATATCAGATATTGGTAACATAATTTTATTTTAGCAAATAAATTTAAGAAAGCCACAATACAGGAAGGGAATATGCATTGGCAGGGGAGGGGGGCAACGCAAAATAAAACCCCTCAAGTGCAATGATTTATAAATTACTTTGTCTGGCTTTTCTTTTAAAAAATGCCTGCATTACAAATAAAATTACTAGAGTTCTTTAGAAATTAACTCCCTATTTGTATCTCCATTCATTCCCTAAATTAGAAGGCTTTGTGTTATATCTCTGGTACGTGACAAATGTTAGCCAAGCAGAGGGCTGGGAAGTACAAGCTGTTGCTTTAATTATCTAGTTATGGATAAGAACATATTTGGATGAAGTCAAAAAAGTCAAAATGGAATCTATGAACGTGTGATCAAAGTTACGTTCTTTCTCATGTATGTCACAATTACAACATTCATTAAATAAGCAGGGTTTCAAATATATAGTTATGCTCCTACCCCATAGGCATTTTTTACAACTCCCCCCCCCCCCAGTTTGCTATTTTAACATCTACAGAAGTTACCTTTTGCGTCTAGTGTCAGGCAAATCCTGACAATAACTCAGTGAAACTTTTAGACATTCTTATTCATAGACTCACCCCATAGGAATCTAAAATAAGCTGTAAAACATTGCTTGAGTCCTTTGTCAAGGTCCCTACAGTAGTGCCTGGAAGCAGCTCACTGTAGTTCTGAAAAGAAAACAGATATTTCCCTTAAATGGACAAATACAAGCTAAGAAAATTGGGATACAGTTTTTCTATGTCAGACTGATTTTTTTAAAAGGGGGTTAAAAGGGAGCCAACACTACCCTCTTCTTATCTCTTGTCCTTTGATTTCTTTTTTCTAATAAAGAACAGCCAAAAGGGAAACAGCAACTCAAACAAACTTTTCCTTGTTTCAACTTTCCAGTCCCACAATATCCCATAATGTGGGATCAATGTTTCTTCTTACCTGGTAAAGGCCAACTATGTTCTGAGTCACTGCAAAAATCAAGTTAATGTTTTTCTGTGAGAGTTTATCTGTCAACAGACCAAGGGATGGGTAATCCTTGGGAAGAAAAATCAAGAGAATCAAATGAGTAATCTGCTTGCATATCATTGCATAGGGAAAAAAATAATAGCTTGGAATTGGTTGAATACAGAAATATGCCACTTACTAGCTATTTTATGTACTGTAATTTATGTATTATGTACCCTAATTAAAATATTGGTATCTCAGCTTTCTTCCAAATCTTCAAGACGTTTATAGTAAACCTAAAGTTTATGGAATTCCAGCCAAATGTATCATCTGCTATAATGGGACATTTTTTGTAGCTATATTAATTCCAATCTCGTGGCTATGAAATGAAATACCCTCACCAGTGTGGTAGAAGCTTCATAATAGTTATTGCTGTTCATGTGACATTTCCCATCATTGGGTATTACAATTCCAGCCAATCTCCCATCTAAAGCAATGTGTGTCTTGGCATCTGTAGTGAAGACCAACAAGTGGGAAGCATCAGGTCTCCAGCCAATTTTGTCCTGTAAGAAAATAACCTCCATGATATGTTCAAAACAAAAACAAAACCTCATAAAGAAGTCCACAAAGATATTCACAGCACCAATCCGAGGAAATTAGTTAATTCTTTAAGACTGAAATATAAATGGTGGAAAAGAAGTGGTGTATAGGGCTGACTACCGGTAATGCCTTTTTTGAAAAAAAAAATCATTATTAGGCTCAATAGTAAAAATCAGTACAGATCATATAATAAAACAAAATGTAAAAGGTTACAATGCAAAATAGCAACATAGATACATATTACTAATACTACTTTATAAAACCCTAGTAAGATCACACCTGGAATGCTACAACCAATGTTGGTCACCATACTACCAAAAAGATGTTGAGACCTAGGAAAAAGTACTGAGAGGAGCAACTAAGATGATCAAACGCCTGCAGACTAAAACATATGAAGAACGGCTGCGGGATTTGTGTTTGGCTAGTCTAAAAAGAAAAAAAGAAAAATAGAGGTGACATGATAGCAGTATTCCAGTATTTGAAGGGCTGCCATAAAGAAGAGGGGGTCAAATTATTTTACAAAGCACCAGAGGGTAGGACAAGAAACAATAGTTGGAAACTAACCAAAGAGAGAAGCAACCTGGAATTAAAGAGACACAGTGAGGACAATTAACCAGTGGAAAAGCTTGCCTTCAGAAATAGTGGAGACAGCCACTTATCTGAAATAGTAAAGGCTCTCCTGCTTGAGCAGGAGCCTGGACTAGAAGACCTCTAAGGTTTCTGTTTCTGTTCTGGTTCTGGTTCTGGTTCTGGTTCTGTCCTGTTTCTGTTCTGTTCTATTTCTGTTCCTATTCCTATTCTATATAAATAGAGGGAGAAAAGAAGAAGAAGAGACTCATCCAACAGATCACCCACTCCCATATTTGAGAGAGGGAAAAAATCTCCAAGTATTTAAAGGCAAGGAAGGCTAATTGACTCTTGGGGTTGGGGATGTTCCTTCTATCCCTTCAATGACTATATATGACAACCTAAATATGGTTGACTTCTGAAAACATAGAGTTGACCAAAATCTAGGAGACAAAATGTCTCTCATCTCCAAAGGGGAATCCAACCCATACATCTTTGCCCACTTAATTGGCATCAGAAAAATGATTCTTGAAGAAACTCTGAATTCCCCCATAATAGAGATTTCTTCTTACATCACAGACAACTGCTTGGATGATGGCATCAAATCCTCCTTCAGGTGCATCTCGATTCTTAGACACGTTTTGTTTCTTCACCTCCTCATTGAAACGCTTGACCTCATCTGTGAGAGCTAGGACATGCTTGTAACCAAACATTGGTAGGCAGTGATCATTTGGTGGTTTCAAGCTAAAATATATTAAGTATATTAAGCTTAGAAAAGGGAACAAGACACTGAAAACCCAAGGAAATCCACAGAATTTAGCACAGCCATTGACCTCACATTACACACCCTCCCAGTTAAACAACCCAACCAATTTGTCATGAGCTCAATTAAAGGGTCCTTAACCCAGCTCTTCCCCTCTCTCACAGTAGTTCCCAAAAGCACATGGTAGTGCCCTCATCAGACACATTAGTTATTTATTCCCATGAGAGTCAAAAATAAGTTGAAATAGCTAAGGAAGAACCCAGCTACTACTTACTCCTAGAGTTATTTTGCTTATATAACACCACTACTTGGTGAGCCAATGTTGTTCCAGGTATAACTAAAAGGCCTGGTTGACACCTTTACAGCCCTTCAATGTTTGAGACAGGGTTACTTGAAGGATCATCTCATCCTTGTTGTTTCTGTCTGTCTGATCCAGTCTAGCAGGATGGGCATGCTTTGGATGCCATTGGCTAAGGAATGTTGGTTGATAGGATCCAGAAGATGTCCCTTTCTGTTATAGTGCCCACTTTATGAAAACTTCTCCGACTGGAGACAAGAAGGCCCCAAACTCTCCTGGCTTTTCATAAGGCTCTGAATATCGGGTTTTTTGCCTGGATCTAGATTCCTGAGCATATGAAGGAATCCATCTCCTAGCTGCATAGACTATGAGGTTTTCCTTGGCTGCTATGCCTTTTTAATTTTGGATTTGTTGTTGTAATTGTTACTTGTTAAGATGGGCAGTTACACAAATGGATGAAATGAAATAAAATAATACTCATAAAATTCCCTAGGTTTTACCTGATATTAAGAAAGAAATATTTCATTTTGCCTGCACATATTTAAGATAAAGAGGAAATAGGAATACACATTTAGCAATCTTTAGAACTACAGATTATAAATTTTAGCTTTAGAGATAGAGGGTGAGAGGTGTTTGAGATGCTTCTAGGTTACAACACCCTTCATCTCTGATTTTTGGCCAAGTTGGCCGAAGGTGACGGGAGCTAACTTCAATTGCAGTTGGGGAAATCAGGCTTGTTTAACAAAGATAGAATCATCAGAGTTTCTTCTGACTAGAGAACTTACTCATAGCATGGGTTTTTGATGGCCTCTGGAGGAGAAATGTACATGTAAGGGGACAGGGGTTTGTCCACAAAAGCTCCAAAGCCAATCCTCAGGTTGCTGGTCACTTTGCGCATTTCCAGGGCAAGCTTGGTACCTAAATTCTGGATATTACGGAGGTCATCCTTCATGGAGTTAGACAAATCCATTAGATAGTAGATGTCCACGGGATAATCTTCCACCTGGCGCACTTGTATTGAGAAAGTTTGGGGGTCATCTGAAATAGCAAAATTGGATAAGGAGTGAAGGACTAAAGATGAGGGGTGTTTTTCCAAAAATTCCAAACATTTCCAAATGTTTGATTTACTAAGTTACATTGTTACAGACGCATGCTATCATAAACTACAGACATATCAGTCTGACCTCAATACCAGGAAAGATTCTGGAAAAGATAATCAAGCAATGAATCAGCGAACACCTAGAAGCAAACAAAGTAATAGCCAAAAGCCAACATGGGCTTGTCAAAAACAGATCATGCCAGACTAATCTTATTGCATTCTTTGACAAAGTGACAAAATTAGTGGACCAGAGGAATGCTGTTGATATAGTTTACTTGGAGTTCAGTAAGGCATTTGATAAGGTAGACCATAACCTACTACTAGATAAAGTAGAAGAAGGTGGGTTGGACAGCATCACTACCAGATGGATTCGTAACTGGCTGACCAACCGCACCCAACATGTAGTCCTCAGTGGTACTGCATCTATATGGAGGGAAGTATGCAGTGGAGTACCCCAATGTCCTGTTTTAGGCCCAGTACTCTTCAACATCTTCATCAATGATTTGGATGAGTGAATAAATGGGGAACTCATCAGATTTGCAGATGACACCAAGCTGGCAGGAATAGCCAACACTTCAAAAGATAGGCTTAAGATATAGAAGGATCTTGACAAACCTGAACATTGGGCACTATCTAATAAAATGAAATCCAATGGTGAAAAGAGTAAGGTTCTACATTTAGGCAAGAAAAATGAAATGCACAGGTATAATATAGAAGGTACCTTGCTCAATAGTAGTAACTGTTAGAGAAATCTTGGAGTCCTAGTGGACAACCATTTAAATATGAGCCAGCAGTGTGCAGCAGCTGTCAAAAAAGCCAACACAGTTCTAGGCTACATAAACAGAGGAATAGAATCAAGATCACGTGAAGTGTTAATACCACTTTATAATGCCTTGGTAAGGCCACACTTGGAATACTGCATTCAGTTTTGGTCGCCATAATGTAGAAAAGATGTGGGAGACTCTAGAAAGAGTGCAGAGAAGAGCAACAAAGATGATTAGGGGACTGGAGACTAAAACATATGAAGAATGGTTGCAGGAACTGGATATGTCTAGTTTAATGAAAAGAAGGACTAGGGGAGTCATGATAGCAGTGTTCCAATATCTCAGGGGTTGCCATAAAGAAGTGGGAATCAAACTATTCTCCAAGGCACCTAAGGGTAGAACAAGAAGCAATGGGTGGAAACTGATCAAGGAGAGAAACAACTTACAAATGAGGAGAAATTTCCTGACAGTTAGAACAATTAATCAGTGGAACAGCTTGCCTCAAGAAGTTGTGAATGCCCCAACACTGGAAGTCTTTAAGAAGATGTTGGATAGTCATTTGTCTGAAATGGTATAGGGTTTGCTGCCTAGGCAGGGGGTTGGCCTAGAAGACTTCCAAGGTCCCTTACAACTCTGCTATTGTATTGTATTGTAACCTAACATACACCATTCTTTTTCCCCTGATTGATATTTCTAGACATACGAGATCAATATTCCAAATAACAGCAAAGCAATGTGATCATTAAGCACAAGCACATCTGTAGACATCTCTTTTGGTCACTGCTAGACTGCTGCTATCTTTACTTTTTAATAAAAACCAATAAGTGATAAGTTGATATGAAACAGTACAAATTCACATTATTATTTCTTATTACAGCCATCAACTCCAGATGATTTAAACAGCTTACAATATTCAAATATATAATTACAAATAATATATATATAACAAAAAGGCAGCAATATTTATTTCCAAGAATGGTTCTAAATACCAAATAGGTCTTATATTCATGAAAAATAAAAATAATGGGTGGCTGCTGCCAAATGCTTTGCCAGGAAATATACCCACATTCTTAACAACAACAACAACAACAACAACAACAACAAGTTTTTTTAAACCTGCTTTTTATCCCAAAATCTAAAGGGTAGTAGGCCTTTCTAGTAAATGAAATTTTAAAGATTGGATATGCTCAAAATGGTGACCATTTTGTGAACTGTAGCTGCTGTTTGTCCTCAGATTCTCAGTATACCCACAAATAAATAAATAAATCTCAAAAGTTGACTACCATTGCCGGAAGGTAATACAGTATGTCCATTCTGAATAGGTAGCTAATAGTCAAGTCAACGTGGCTCTGAAGCTATCATAGGCTAGCTCTAAAACTATCAAGCTATCATCATATTGTCTCAGACTATTGGACCGCGTTTGCAGAATTACCAGTTCAATTGAAGCAGTCCTTCAACCTTTTATGTAGATGCTTTCTTCTTTATTTCTTACTGTTTCTCTATAAATGGTGAGGAATGAACCCAAGGCTTTCTGTGGGTAAATCAAGTAGTATATCTGGTTTTACCTGGACGCAGGAAGAGTTCAATCTTCTGTGGAGTCATTTGAGTGATGTCACTTCCTGATCCTTTGGCACTGAGAGGTCTAGCCTCCAGTATGGAGGTCTCGCTGCGTGGATACTCTATAAAATCTTGTGTGCAGCCATTCTGATATAGATTTTCTATCAAGTCACAGCGAGAGAAAGCTTTTGGCATATTCTGTTGGAGGAAGAACAGAAAGAACAATAAGTTTTTGGAATGGGGAATTCTCAAACTCCAATCTAATTATGTTGTTGCTAAAATTAAATTAAATTAAACTTGTCAGCTTCTAAGCTCCAATTCAAAGTGTTGAATTTAAAGCCCTTTATAGCAAGGGTCCAGGATATCTGAGGAACCATCTTCTCCCAATGGGATCGGTCTGCCCCATTCACTCTGGCAGAAGAGGTCTACTGGAGGGTCCCATAAGCCAAGGAATTTTGACTGCTGGAGCCTAGGAGAAGAGCCTTTTCTGCCTTGACCTCTGACCTTTGGAATATCTTGCCACTGGAAGTGAGAGTTGCCCCTTTTCTTCTGGCCTTCAGGAAAAGCCTTAAAACCTGGCTATACCACCTGCCATGGGACCCTAAAGGAATAGCTCTTGACTAGAGGTAGTTGATGCAGTAACAATAAAGACATCACCACTGCTCCATTCCAAACCCATGATTTTTTAGATTGCTCTTAATTGCTGAGAGCTGCTTCAAACTGTGAGTAAGGAGCACACCGACACACTGACTGACTGACTGACTGACTGACTGACTGACTGAATGAATGAATGAATGAATGAAAGAAAGAAAGAAAGAAAGAAAGAAACCTAAAAAGGGGCAATATTTAACTTCAACAAGAAATTATAGACCAATATCCCTATTGAATGGTGAATTATAAATTGTTTATAATGTCTTAAGCAAACAGATTGTAAATCATTCTGAAGAATGTATTAATGAAGATCAATGTGTATATCAACCCTGAAGTTGGTTGAACTGAGACCATTTTTTATTTTCCTGCTTCAGTGCTGACACATACTAGAGCTGAGGCAGTGATGAGCTTCAAATTTTTTAAATTTGTTTATTTTGATTTTTGAAGTTTTAAATGGAAATATAAGTGTCAAAGTTCCAAGTAACACCCCCAATGAAAGAAGACCCCGAGGCTTGAAGTTCCTCAAAGTTCCATTTTATTACAGATGTCATATTGGCACATCTGGGAAAACCCGAATTTGAAAGTTCTGGGTTTTCCTCACCTAAAAGAAAGTCAAAGATCCATCCCCTGCACTCACAGTTCCATCACATGGTTCAATAAATTCCCCGTGCCAACTGGAGACAACCTCCTGCAATGTTCTCTCTAAGCTGCGCAGCTGCGCAGCCGCACACATCACAAGAAAACACTGCACAGCAGTTTCCAACTGCCGCACAGGCGGGACAAGAGGGATAATACCAAAGAAACGGTGAAATGAAAGGAAGGAGGGAAAAGGAGGGACAGAAGGAAAGGGAAAGGAAGGGCAAAAGGGAAAACAAGTTTTATTTTGGTTAAACCATGAAATAGAAGCGTTAAATGTGTCCCACTACCAGTTGCCCATAGCAAGCTGTCTGGTTCCTGCCTTGTAAGGTCGGGGCTCCCACCTACCCCCACCACCTGCCACCCGCACACCCCGGCGCCTCCCTCCAAGCCAATGGCCGAGTACTTATTAAGGCACCGCCGAGTGCAGGACACCCGCAGCCTCCAATCCGGCGCCCCGCTATCCTTTGCTTGGGAAACCGTGTGGTTCCAGACACAGTGCTCACCTTCTGCCTTTGGGAACCTCCGCCAGTTCCTTCAATGGTTTTATTCTCCTTGCTATTTGTCCATCCATCCATCTCTCATCTTTATTAACTACCTATGATCAATCTGTCTGTCTGTCTGTCTGTCTGTCTGTCTGTCTGTCTGTCTATTTATCTATCTATCTCATCTCATCTCTATTAACTATGTCAGTTGGTCGGTCTGTGTCTCAACTATCTTTCATCTATTAATATCATCTTCAGGATGGTATCTATTCTCCCTCCTTCCCTCTAAATGTCCAGTTCCTTCTGCTGACTCACCCATTGGTCTTCCTTGTCCTGCCCCAATTCTGGAATTTCTCTCTCCCTATGGAGGTACAGATTTTTGGTTGACTTTCCATTGGGGACTTTTTAACAAAAAAAACCAAAAAAAATAGAGGCATCTGCCTTACAATGAACTTTATGAACCCTAGTTACCCAGGCTGATTATGACAAGCATTTAGCTTAGCATGAGTTCTTCCAGAAATATAAAATAAAAGTGGAATTTGAACCAAGCAGTCCACATACAGCACATTATAATATATACCATCTGTTTAATCAGGGTGGAGAATAATTATATTAGTAATGTAGACATTTATAATTTTGTAGTTAGGTTTATATCATAGGCTGAGAGATAAATTTGATAAGATCTACAGATAGCTCTAAATAAGTAATATAACAACACTTTTGCTTAATTGGTGTCCAGGATATGGACAGAACTGATGTCAGAATGTAAAGCTAATGATAAGACTGGAATAAACGTTGTTACGAAAAAAATTCAGGTGCTCAGGCATAAAAATGTGCCACTCAAACACTATACTTTTCCACACACACTAAAAAAAAATTAGAGGGAACATTGACCCCCTGTCACTCTGATCCAGGTGAATGCCCCTGACTCCCAGTGAAAGCAATGTTGTTATGCCTAATCCTCCACCACTCCTTGTAATCCCCCCTCCCATTTTCTCAGGCACTAAATGTGGTAGCCCTGAATGTCCAACAGAAAAGATGGCTTCCAGGGCTGACAATAAGGCACAATGAAAGCACATAAGAAAATGAATGTAAAAAAAAAACTTGAAAAGTTTTATAGATGTAATGCTGGTTTTGGAAAATACTTTAAAGGGATTGAATTATTAATGAGAAAATTAAAATAATTTCTTGAATTAGCTGGTTTTAAACAGAAGATGGTAACAAAAATATGAAATCGTAAGATCTAGCAGAACTGGTGAACGAAACAGATTTTAAGACTGAGAAAATGTAAAATATTTGGTTATTAATTTGACAAATATAAATTATATGTTGTTCCAAAATATGTTAAAATATGAAATGAAATTTAAAAAGTTGTATTAAGAAAGGAAAAATTAGAATTGTCATTATTGGGAAGAATTTCTATGATTAAAAACTTCTCTAGAACGTTATTTTTGTTTTAGACAACATTTGTTTTGACAATTGTTGTACCATTTAAATAATGGCAGAAATATATATAGATATATATGTATGTATGTATGTATGTATGTATGTATGTATGTATGTATGTAGGTAAAAAGAGTGATTTTTACTTAAGGTGTTACAACATGCTAATGAAACAAGAAATTTAGTGATATCTGATTTGTTGTTTAATCTATACAAGGTGATGCTGAGAAATAGAAGATTATTGGAGTTAGAAAGAGACAATTTGGTGTTTGAATGGCAGAATTATGCTAAAGTTAATGTAGTTTCTAAAGATCACTTTGTTAGACATTCCATATTGAGAAAATGGAACAGATATAAATCCAAAAAGTGGTTTCATTACAGGAAGCATATTATAGAAGAGAAATTAAAATTAAATATAGTTATTTTATGATAACATATTAATATTTTCATAAGCAGATATCAAATAAAATCAGGAAAATATCTGACGATAAGAAGAATATACATGTGAATACTTTTCTTAGGTACTATTATGAGAAAGATTTAAAGAAGATAAAAAGAACTTTTGGTTTTGAATATTATAACAATGTATTTGAAACTGAATTGTCTATAAATGATGAATATGTTATTGCTAAGTGAATGCTGTTCTAATTTTCAAAGGATCATTTTCTATACTAGACATTCAGTCCCAATAATTTACACTGGGATGAAAAGGCAACCAACTTAATTTCAACCTTAATTAAGAGAATTTTCTTTAATTAAGGAGAACATTTGGAATAGAAATTGAGAGAGAGACTTGAGAATACTTGTAACATAATAATTATATTCATTTGTGCATTTAATGTGGTTCTAAAACACCTTCTCACACTTGATATGGAGCACAGTGCAAAGTTGTTATTCAGCCAGTTCTGACAGGTTCTGGAGAACCGATAGCAGAAATTTTGAGTAGTTCAGAGAACTGATGAATAGGCTGGCCCCGCCCTTGCTGCCTCCCAGCCTCTCATCTGATCTTTTGTTGTCCTGAACAGGAGAACAGAGCTGGAAAGCAGGTTAGTGGGGTAGGGAGGGAATGGGGATTTTGCAGTATCCTTCCCCTGCCATGCCCACAAAGCCACACCACACCCACAAAGCCATCCCCACAGAACCGGTAGTAAAAAAAAATTGAATCCCACCTCTGGCACAGTGGTTCATGTGGTTAGGCTGCTGGGTTGGAGATTAGCAAGCCCACATTTGAAACCCAAGTGCTGTTACGTGGCAGAGATAACTCCTGTCACTAGTTTCGGCTCCTTGATAGGGACATAAAAGGCATTCCACGGGCATTCCACAGGTAATGGTGATGTCACCGGCTAATCTTTTAGCTAACCTTAAATGGTACTTCTGATACAAATGGGTATAACCAGATAATCCTTAACTTATGATTGCAGCTGGAACCGGAATTTTAGTCGAAAGTTATGACTTGTTGTAAATCAAGGCATCCATGTAACTGGACCCAATTTTACAATTGTTTTTATGTTGTTCATTAAGTGAATCATACAATCACAAGTCCAAATCCATTCTCCTGAATGGATGTTTTCTTCACAATGTTTGGTCATGTGATCATATAATACTGCAACCAGTCATAATTGTGAGCTGGTTGCCAAGTGTCTAAAATATGGTCATATGACTATGGGGAGTGGGGAAGGAATGACATTTTACAACGGCCAAAAATGCTTTATGGGTTGTAAAGCACCTTTTCCCAAGGTCATTGTAATTCCAAACAGTTGTTGAATAACCAGACACAGAGGTTGTATTCAGCCAGTTCTGACTGGTTCTGATAAACCAGTAGTGGAAATTTTGAGTAGTTCAGAGAACTGGCAAATGCCACCTCATCTATTCGCTGTCTCCCAAATCCCAGCTGATTGTAGTCCCAGCTGATTGGCCAGATCTTCTTCTGTTGCCCTGGTCAGGAGAACAGAGCTGGAAAGCAGGTTAGTGAGGTGGAGGGGG